CTCCTCCCACCCTGTGCTAGAATATAAGATACGCACTCACCCAGCACCAATAGACTGGTTCTCACCTCTCATCTGGACCCAGACATCACAGGAGCCACTTCTTTGGGAGCTGTTTTTCATCCTTCTGGGCTTAAGACCCAACTATGCCAAGCAGCACACCCAGAGCTGGTGGCCCCTCCACCAAAGCAAAGCTCACAACTCTCCTGAACAGGGCCAAAGCAGGCCTGACATGGGAAATGTCCTCCTGACCCTCCTCTCCTACAACACTTTGAGGGTGTACCCAGCCCTTGGAGCAGCCATGCTCAGACCAAGAAGAAGCAGCTCAGCCAGTGTGGGGGCAGGCAGGAGGCAGAGTGCTTCCATGGCATGGCCAGTGTCAGAACGAGTGGCTGTGATGAGGGAGCAGGCGCTGTTAGGAAACTCAATTACCGCCTGCAAGGTGCCCCTCAGAGCTCCTGGGGAGAGCCAGACCAGAGACCAGCCAGAAGCCAGAGGGTGACAGCTCCCACTGCATCCAGGAGCAGATGGCAGCCTTGGGGAGACTGGCCTGGGACAGAATGTGACATTCTAGGGGTCACTGGCAGGCATGTGAGAGAGAATGAGGAGAGAGCAGACTGGCCCCAGGGCTCACCCATCCAGACTCACTGCCAGATCAATCTCCCTGAAAGGACAGCCCTCAGCACATCCCTCTCCTGCTCAAAACTCAAAACTCTTCAGTAGCTGCCCATCATCCACTGAATCAAGGCCAAAACACTGCCACCGCTCCGCATTCCAAGTCCTTCCCAGGCCGGCCCCAGGCTACCTCACAGACTCATCTCCTGCCAGTCCCTTCCCGAACCCTCTGCTCCAGCCAAATGGATTTGTTGTTCTGCAAACAAGCTCTTCATTCAGTTCCCCACCCCCATGCCTTTGTTCACACCATTTCATCTCCCTGGGAATGTCCTTCCCCCACAGTCCCCTCCTCCTTTTCATCTCCTTGTCTAAGCCTGCCTACACTTAAAGCCCATATCTTCCGGATGCTTTCCTGATCGATCCCGAACTATAGTGACCCAACTTTTCTTTGACTGGTCAGCACTTCACCTGACCATTCAAAAAGATCTACTGCTTCCTGCCTCTTTGATGACAGACCATGTCCCTGTCTTTGTCCCCTGTCCAGAGGCTGGGGACTCCAGAGCACAAGAACTCAGAGTGACAGAACTTTGTGCACAGGAGGAGAACAGAGAACATGTCAGGGGCAGCCATTGGTTAGGAATTTATCAGCCTCTCTCAGCAAGAATGCAGGTGTGAAACAGCTCTCAGGCTAAAGCCTGATGAGAACCACCCAACTACTGGGGAAAAGAGGCAAAACACTTCAGGAACCCCCCCCCCCAAACCATCATCTCCTGGGTCTGGCTGCCATCTGAGCCCTTGGCAAACTCCTGTTGCCTAAGCTAAGGCCTGTGAGAATAGCATATTCCCAAACCCCCATCCACCATCCTGCTGACTTGGGTGGGTTTCTTAAGCTTCCCTCTCTGGCCTGCCTACTTGCAGCCAGACGATGGCACACCAGCTGGCCTGTCTGTCTGGGCAGAGCCGACGGATGCCAGACGGAGCAGAAATGGCTGTGGGCCCAGCTCTATCCATCTCTAGTCCTGGCCCTGGCTGGGGGATGGGGTCTGCCTGTCTGCTTGCCTGCTGGTGCTGCAGGCAGAAAAGCTGGGGGCCCTGAGGTTCCCCAAAGATAAAGGGTTCTTCACGATATGGACCTACTCCTTTATCACTGGCCACTACAACCTAGCACAACCCACAGCCAGCTTCAGACATCTGGGATTTTGCTTGTGCCTGGTCCAAAGGGTCTAAAAGCATAGGAAAGCACTCCCCAAGGTCAAGGAGCTGCAGAATTGTTTCAGACAAATATTAACTGAATTCACCAAACGCCTCATTTCCATCTAGCAAGATTCTGCTGCTCCTTCAAAGTCCAATTCAAGGCCCAATTCTCCAACAGTTTAGATTAACCATTCTCTCAATTCCTACTTCCCCAGTGGCCACAGCACTAATAACAAAGCACCATGTTGAAGCTACTCGTGCACATGTTCCACTTAACTGTGAGCTTTCCTGGTGCTTGAGACATCCTGACTAATAGGTCAGGTGCCTGCCCACCACCAGCCTAGAGGTGAGGAGGAGAGGCCTGGGCCCAAGAAGCCCTAAGGGGTTGCAGCATATCACTACCACCTTCCTTGGATGCCTCAGTAACATGGCTCCGTCAAGCTCATTGCCTTCATTCCTCACCCTGGCCCAGACCCACTCACCACTTGCGCTTCATGTAGGCAGCAGCTCGGTTCCCATACAGCATGGCATTGTGAGGGGCCCTCTGCACGGCCTTGCTGTAAAGCTGAATGGCCTGGGTCCACTGCTGGCAGGCAAAAGCTTCATTGGCTTGCTGTTTCACACGCTCCAGGTATGGGGGCAGCTCTACCTGGGGGCTATAGAGGCAAAGCCAAGTCAGGCCAGCCAAAGAAGGTCAGAGCAGCCCCTCAAGAAGTCTGTAGCCTTGTCTGAGGGTCACCCAGGCTTTCTTGGCCTTTGGGATCTGTACTGTCATCTAGAAGAGGGGACCACTCCTATTCTTGGCCTGAGTTACTGTGATAGGTAATAGATACAATTCTAGATACTCTGAGCCAGTAAAAAACAAGAGAGGCAGAAATGAAGCTGTCCTGGATAGGTTTAAGGCCATTCTTAACCAAACTCCTGAGCATGATAGTAGCTGACACCACCTGCCTCCACGGTGAGCTAAATCTTGTGACCACCCAAGTCCCTCCCATGGATCTCTCTAGAGAGAATTCTGTTTTTCTCAAGGGCTAGAGGATTTGAACACCTCTGTATCCAAAGCCCAGCACATGGGCCTGACAGAGAATAGAGGCCAAAAGGTGCTATGTGATGGAGAAAAATATAATGAAAGAGGCCCATCTGTGTGGAACCCTTTAGGAAGGAGCTCAGTGATAAGAGGCACTTAGCCTCTGGGTCCTGACCACAGCTTCTGGTCCAAGGGACCAGAGCTTCAGTCTGAGCATGACTGGAGTCCTACCAGGTAGGAATGGCATTGGGACCACTAATCACCCTCCAGAAAATTCTTTGTTCCAGTCCCCTGACTCTGGGGTATGTGCCTGGGTGGGGAGTCAGGAGGAAGGGTTATAAGATATGCTCCACCCTCTGGTCTAGAGATGCAATTGGGACTGGGAGGGTTGGACAAGTGAGGCTGGCCTCACCTGACATGTCCCCTACTCTCCGGCAGCCGGAAGCCGTTGCTGTGAAGGTGCAGGCCATTGGACACACCGTTGGACACACCATTGGTGGACATCTTGCCATTTTGAACTTCTGGTGGAGGATGAGGAGAGGGGAAGAGCAACAACTCAGGGAGAGGTCCTCACATCTCCTCGGCAGCCCTTCAGCTTCCATCAGAGGGTCTCATGGTTCCATTGTGAGGCCATCCTCCCAGAGTAAGATCCATTCCCAGAAAGCAAGTTCGGACCAGCAGGCAAGGGCATAAAGAAAACCTGTGCGCCCTCTGCTGGCTGAAGAAGGACACCGCTTCAACTTGGCATTACCCTCAGCTGGAGCTGGGATGGGGATGGGAGGGGGGGTGAGGAGGTGCCTAAATCAACTTAAGGCCCCAGTTAGAAATGAGTGAGGAGACTGATCCAGGAAAATGCATGAAGGGCAACTCCTTCAGGTCCTCAAGAGCCAACCCATGGGAAGAACCTGCTTTTTCAGAGGGAAGTGCAAAGGGCTGTGGTTTAAATCCTTCTGACAGATTTCTGTGATCTACTGTTATCTTCTTTTTCACTGTATAGACAGTGTATTTCAGAAAATATACTCATTTTGGAGGATCACGCCACAGCCCAAGGTAAGGTTTCTCAGCAGAGGTGGCGCACACTCAAGCTCCTCAGAAGAGATACTCTAAAGGACATCCTAATGGAGAACTTACCCCCTGAGGAGTGGCATTTTCTAGGCAACAGGAACGTGTACGGCCGCTGCTTGTAAGTCAGGTCAAATAAATAGACCTAGAGTAGAGGGGTCAAGAAGAAATGAGGGCTGTGAAGTAAGCATGTGGCTGAGTAAGGCCTGGGTTGGCTCTCAGGAACACAGTGAGTGTTGGGCAGGGAACCATCGAGCAAGGCCAGGAGTGGTTTCTATGGAGCAAATCTCAAGTAGAGAAATCTTCCCAGTTCCTGCTGGAAATGCTGTCATCAATTAGAATCACATGTTTAAGCTGAAAAGGTTCTCGGAGGTCACAAAGAAATGTCTCATTTTACAGATGGGAAAACTGAAGCCTCAGAGAAGAGAAGCAATTTACCTAAAATAACACTGCTAGTTACTTCCCTGTAAATATTATCTATTATTACTTAACATTTATTGAATTCCTACTTTGCTCCAGGAGCTCTGTTTAGTGTTTTATATGATGTATCTCATTTCATCCTCAAAACCATCCCACGAAGAGGTACTATTATCATCACCCCTTTTACAGAAACGTACACTCAGAAGAGACTTGTTCAAAGTCAGAGCGCACAGCTAGTAAATAGAAGTTCAGGATTTGAAGGCAGGTCTCTCAGTTCTAAAACTTATGCTAAAAAAAAAAAAAGACCAGGCCAGGGCACGTCTCTGGGACCTCCAGTGATGCCATGTGACTCCCACATTTCACTATAACATCATTTACTATAAGGCTTCTTGTCTGCATCATGGCAGTGGACATGAGGTACACAGCCCTGGCTGCTGGATATGGGGTGGTGGTGGGGCAAAGCCAACTTAGTCAGTCATACGTACCTGCTCCCCTCCCATGTTCACCAGCAGCTCTGTGCCATTGGGGCTGAAGGTCACATAGGTGGCAACCAGCACTCTCAGACGGTTGTTGTAGTCAGGCAGCTTCACTGGCAGATGACCTGCAGGGAACAGTCCAGTCACCCTAGTGTGAGGCTCCCAGGGCCCCCAAAAAGGGACACGGAGTTGTGTGAAGTCAGCCATATAAACGATGATAGCAATCATCTTCATCATAAAAAGAGCTACAAGTGTTGAGCCCTTACATGTGTTGGGCTGCTTTATATGCTTTATATCATTTAGTCATTATAACCCCATTTTATAGAAATTAAGATTCATCAAGGGTCAGTAATTTGCCAATGGTCATGATGGCTGATTAATGGCAGTCAGAATTAAAGCCCAGGTATTTCTGACTCTAAAACCCTTGCTCTTGACCACTGTGCCACGCCACCTCCCTGCACTGCCCCAGAGTGAGCCAGTACCCCACCAAGAGTTTGGGGCCAGAGCTGGGCTGAGCCCTACCTGCTACGTAATACTGGGCTGCACCATCCGGAAGGGGCTTCTGCCGGTCACAGAAGGTGTGCACACCTGCTGAAGGGCTCTGCTTCATGCTCTTTCTGGTGGAAAGGCAAACCATATAGGTTACAATGCTTAGCACTACCCCTGGCTAGATCAGACTACACTCCCTAGAGGAAAATCTAAGTTTGTATCCCTGAGAGAAACAGAAAGTACCTTTCTTCTTTATGTCAACACCCCCACAGGTCTACCAACTAGACAGCTGTGGACACATACATTACAGTACCTAACAAGAAGGTCCTGCGCAATGTTTCATTTTGTGACCACCCCATTACCCTCATTTTACAGATGAGGAAGCTAGGGCCCAAGGCCTAATCCAAGTTGTAACGTGTGAGGAGCAACAGTGGTTGCCCAAACCCATGAATGAAGGTAAAGCAGGCCAGACGTTCTTGCACCTCCCTCAGGAGTCCATAAAACCCAGGCTAGCAGAGCTGCTCAGGTCTGGGACTTCTGTGGAGGTTCTAGTATATCTTACTTTTGTTTTTGAAGAAAAAAAAAAGAACAAAATAAAACTACATGTACAAAAAAGCAATTACGTACAAGATTATAACCCTGTACAAACACTCATAGTAAAAGAATAAGCAGAAAATATTATAGATGGTGATTTCTTTCAGGTGATGGATTATGGGTAATTTTTAATTTATACTTTTCATATTTCCAAAACAAGCATGAATTACAGTTTTTTAAACATCACAAAAATTAACCTCTATTAATTGTGTTAACCAATGTCACTCCAATAAATTCAATAAAAAAGAAAAATTATTTTAAAAAAATCACAAAAATTTAAAAACCCACCTTGAAAAGAAGAGGGCATGGTAATGAGGGAAAGGGGCAGCAGATTCCTGGGGACTTGCCCGCAGGAGGCTGAGCTGTTCATACCTGTGGTTATGGATCATGCGAATGTCGTAGAGTCTCACGAAGGGCCCACTGGCCCCTACTGCCAGACAGTTGTTGTCCTGGGGGTTGACAGTGAGGCACTTGGCCTCCACCAGCTGGCCACAGTACTCTGTCAGGTCAATCAGCACTTCCGAGTGTTTGCTGTTTTCCCGAAGGTCATACTGTCTGTGAGAGAGGGCAGAGTTAGGGGACTGGGGGCCAGACCCCTGTGTTGAAGGCAGGGGAGAAGCCAAAGCCCTGTTATACAAGGTGATTGGGAGGGGCTCTTAGACCTGTTGTAAATAATAAGAATGTCAAAAACCACTCTCATTTCTTGAGTGCCCACTGTGTGCCAGGCCCCTGTAGCAGGCATCTCAGTGTTTTATTCTAACATAACTCCTTAATGTAAACACTACTGTACCTTTTTAAAAAAACCCACACAGATGTCAGTATTATTGCTACTAAGTATTATTACTACTGATTACTAACACAGTGAGAAATTGCTTTGTGTCCAGTACTGTCCCTAAGTGTTGCGTGTATGTTACCTAATTAAATCCTCACACCATCCCTAGGTACCATTAGAACATTGAGGTTCAAAGCAGTTAAATAACTTGCCTGGGACAACACTGCTAGTAAATGCAGAGCTGGGATAGCTTCCTAAGACTGCTCTGCTCCTTAATGCTAATTCTTATTGTAAATCTCGTTTCTTATAGGAAACAAAAGAAGTATGGAGGTGACAAAAAAAGAGTATTTGGAGATCATCTAAGAGCTACCTAGAAACACCAGTGCCAACAGAAGCCCAAGAGTCCCATCTAGGTGGCAAAGGTCATGCCAAACATCCACCTGGCAGCAGCACACACCCATCACTGCAGCCTGGGGAGCTTTTTGGCTGCCCAAACACAGGCACAAGCAGAGAGTGGGAGGTACATCATCCTGTGCTCACCTACCTGTTGCCTAGACATCTGCAATGATCTCTTCACTGTTTGCCTTATCTTTCTAACTAACTCTCTAGCTCAAAACTGCAGCAATTCCTCGATATTTTCAGCATGAATGTACTTTTAGTTTACTTTTACCAAACTCCTCAGTCTGGTTTTCAAGATCTGATTTCACATCCCTCTCCAACCTTGTTCCTCAGTTTTCTAAACGTGGGTCAATTACAACTACAGAACTCTCTATCCTTACATGCCACGTTTACCCCTGCCTTTAAAAACTCTGCTCAAGCTGGGAATCCCCTCTGCTTTTCTTTGCCCATCCAAATCCTGTCTATTCTGGAAGGCCAGTTTATGCTTACCTTCAACTAGGACACCTTCCCTGACTGCTTGCGTTGAAGTGCTCAGGCTCCTACCCAAGGCCCTTGATGTTCAGCTTCTACCTGTTGCCCTGACAGTCTGGTCAGTCAAGGTCAGCAAGTGCAACATAGAGTTGTACTCGCCACTAACCCAGTGCTTTCTGTTTTCTAAGTACAGCAGGTCCTTGAATAATGTCTTTTTGTCATTCAATGTTTTTCATTATAATGTTGATGAGATGCATTGGAACTTAACTCTTGTTTATATCAATGAGCCTATGGTGAAACTGGTTTCATTATGTGTCGTTTCACTTAAAGTCACAGAACCTATGGATGACATTAAGTGAGGACTTAATGTACTATGCTAAGGTTTTACTGGCACTATATATCAATTTCAATGCTCAGGCCAACAAGGGAGATACATTTTATAGATGAGGAAACTGAGGTTCAGGAGTTAAGTGACTTGCCCCAGTCAAACACTGAGTGACAAAGGCAGGACTTGACCCCAGATCTGTCTGACTTCAGTGCCCTGCTTCTAATTGCTGTGTTACAGTTTATACATGACTTAGCTACCTCTCCTCCTTTGTAATGGGGGAGAGGGCACAAGATCCTATAGGTTCTTAAGGGAGGCAGTTAAGGCAGGTTAGGGAGATAAGGAAAAATGTCTAAAGTCATATCTGAAGAGACGAGTTAAAGAAGGACAATGAGACCACTTTAGGATGAAGGGAAGCAGAGGCAAAGGTGTGACAATACTGGCCACTGGAAAAAGGGACAGTCTACCATTTCTGGATGACTCTCCCCCTTACAGGCACATGCCCACTGACCAACCATTCAAGAGAAATGTATCAAGTGTATCTATGTGCCAGGCACTGTGCTGGGCCCTAGGGATACAACCCAAGGACAAGACAGACATGGAGCTGCTCTGAGAGAGTTTACTATTCAGCGAGGAGGGATACAGACAAAAAAGTGAACCAACAAGTAAATAAAGTAACTACAGGTGATGACTAGAGTTATAGAGGATACAATAGGGTGCTGAGACAAAGAATAATGAGGGAGGGTCTACTTTAGGATGGTCAGAGAAGGTTCTTCTGAGAAGGTGATTCTTAAGCAGATCACTTTAGGATAAGAAAGAGTCATACACGGAAAGAGCTGGGTACAGAGAAAACCAGGTAGAGGGAACAGCAGTGTGAAAGCCCAGAGGAGGCAGACTGCATCTGAGGTGGTGGGAGGCCGGCAGGCCTGGAGGCAATACAGGAAAGGGAAAAGAGTGGGGAAGGTGAGAGTAGGGGAAGCAAATGTTCCCAGGTGAGCTTGTCCACAGACGACTGCTCTGGGCAGACTAATGAGGCTGGAACTCTGCTGTAAGGAAGGAGTCAAGCCTGTGGAAGGAAGTGGTATGGGCAGGCAGGAGGGAAGAGCCAACATGCAGTGAGAGGTACAGGCCCCATCAATGCTTCAGGCCCTTACCGGATAAGCCCATCCTCAGCGGCACTCCAGAATGTGTTGGGCCACATGGGTGCTGTGGCAATGCGTTTCACCCTGTTCGTGTGGTCTCCAAACATGTGGATCGTCTCCTTTACTGTCAGGTCATGGACATGCACCTTGGAGTCAGCTGCCCCCGTAATCAAGATGCGGTCCCCAGCATGAGGCAGGAACTGCTCCGGAGAGATTGAAGAAGACATTGGCAGGCAGTGGAGGTAGGGCTGGCCACGGAAGGAGACTGCCCTGCATATTAGCGCCCTCTTTCTCTTTCAGTATCAGATAAGAAAATGAGTCTATCTAAGATAACCCACCAGGAAAACTTTGGACCTCAAACATTAGTCCTCAGGCCTAAAGGTCAAAATCAAGGCTTCACCTTTGCTTTTCAGAAGAGTCCTGACCTATGCCAAGCTGGACTACCTAAGGAAACATTTTCTTCTGATTCTTCCACAGGTAAGAGCTAAGTGAATGAAAATCATAGCTGTTACCATGTACTAAGCATTTACCAAGTGCTAGACAACAGGGCAGGTACTTTATCTTATTGATAGTTAAAATAAAATAATCCCATTAACAACTCAGGTTTGGCATTAACATTCAGTAGGACTGTCTGACTCCCTTATGCCATACTGCCTCATGACCACTACTTAAGAGCCTGGAGGTTAAGTAATAAATTAGTCTTAAGTTGAAAAGGACTTTCAGTGTCTTAAGGGAGTGGGTATTTAAAATTGGTTCAAGTATTTCTGGAGAACAACCTGGCAATAGGTAGCAAAGATAAAAACTTCTATCTTTTGAAAAACTTTCTATCTTTTGATCCAAAACTTCTACTTCTGAGAAATAATTCCAAAATAAAAAGGGATCTATGCAAAAATGGAACTCATTATAATGACAAAAGCTGGAACAGGCTCAAATGTCAGACCTTGGGGAAAGAAGAAGGGCTGAGCACCTAGAGGATACATCTCTTTGAGGCAAGAACCCTGGCTGGTGCGGCTCAGTCGGTTGGAGCATTGTCCTGTACAACAAAAGGTTGTGAGTTTGATTCCTGGTAAGGGCACATAGCCAGGTTATAGGTTTGATCCCCAACTGGGGTGCATGTGGGTGGCAGCCAATTGACGTTTCTTTCTCATATCTATGGTGTTTTTTTCTCTCTCTTTCCCTTCCCTTCCTCTCTCTAAAATTAAAAAGAAAGAATGAGAATCCCACCATTCTGATGAGGTGGAGAACAAAACACTCTAGGTGACATAATAGTAAGAACAAAACAGCCACATAGTTTAAATAATAGTAATTTTAAAAAAAATCCTCGCCCAGTCGGGCGTGGCTCAGCGGTTGAGCGTTGACCTGGGATCTAGGCAATCGGGGTTCGATTCCCAGTCAGGGCACATGCCCAGGTTGTGGGCTCAATCAATGACTCTCTCATCATTGATGTTTCTATCTCTCTCTCTCCTTCTCCTTTCCTCTCTCTGAAATCAATAAAGATATATATATATAAATCCTCACCCAAGGATATGTAAGAGAGAAGGGGGAAGGGGAGGAGAGAGGGATAGGGAGAGGGAGAGAGAGAGAAACATCAATGTGAGAAAGAAACATAGTCGGTTGCCTTCCATACATGCCCAAAAACCCACAACCTAGGTATGTGCCCTGACCGGGAATCGAACCCATGACCTTTTGGTGTAGTGGACGATGCTCCAACCAATTGAACCACACCAGCCAGGACTGAATAGTAATTTTTAAAAGTATGCTATTCTATCACCAGTTTTGAGGAAGAAAATTTTTGAGGTGTGGTGTTGAGTTCTCTTCTCTCTTAGGTTCAAAAGATTGAATTATCTTTTTTTCTGAATTGAAAAGTTTCTCACAACCCACAACAAGGCTGAATGGGTGCTGGGGGGAGTGCAATACTCTGCATTTAAACAACTAAAGTCCCACCTGGCTTAAATGTTCACACAAAAGCAACAATTCACTCTTCCAACATATGCTTCTCTAATGGCTCACTAGGACAAGGGCTAGATGAAATAGATGGAATTTAGTAATTTTGAGGGACAACCAGTAGTCTTTAATCCTGTCTGGAGACATGTACTCCATGCACAAAAGAAGTAACAGGAGAACTCTTGGGAAGAACTTGTGACTGCTGCCACACTTGTCATACACTGTAGCAGCCACCAGGGGGAACTCGTGGGTTAAATACAGGGGTGAGCAAAAGTAGGTTTACAGTTATGAGTACATGAAGCCGTTTATTCTTGTATTATTATTTATTAATTATTGCATTGTTTTCCATATGAACAACTGTAAACCTACTCTGCCACCCTTGTAAGTATATCTAGTGTTTTACTAACAGAAGAGAGAAGAATCCTTTTCCATACTTTTTTTTTTTTTAACAGAAGAGAAGGCTGAGGGTCTGGAATATAATTGCCTTGCTCTAAGTCTTACCATTAGCTAGTATCAAGGCCATTGTCAAAGTCTGGTCTCTGAACTCAATGTTTTGTGCTCTATGATGCCAAACTGATGGCTTAGGTCCCTTCCCCAGATCTGACCCCACAGACTCAAACTGGACCTAACGCTTTTCAGGGGCAGAAAGCAGTCTCTGTTTGCCATGAAAGAGGTGAATCAGCAAGGGTTCTCCTGTTCTGTCTGTAAAATAGCAGAACTTCACCTAGGACTGGTCAGACAGGGATGAGAATCGCAGCCTGGGAAAAAGGTAGGGTTTAGGGAAATAAGTGGGTTTTGAGCTCTTGAATCTGCCTTCTTCCAGTATGTTATAATTCCTCTTGATATTAATTAGGAAAGGACAACCTCACTCTCACATCCATCCATTATAGAATTTCAGAGCTGGAAAGGTCCTTAAAGGTCATTTCCTCCAACTTTAAACCTGGCAGATAAAGTTCCCAACAAGCAGAATACCTCAGTGCTAGTATATTTACTACATCTTCAGAGGGCCCATTCTACTTTTCTCAAATTGCTCTAAGCCTTAGACAGTTCTTTCCTTCATCAGGCCTGCATTTGCTTCTGTGGACTTACAGCCGTTATCCTAGGTCTGTTCTCTGGGATCAAAAGGGAAAAGTTTCATGCCACTTCCACATAATAGGTCTCCAGAGGTTGGAGGACACTTCTAAGTCCCTTTCCCACCTGTCCTCAGCTTAACTCCGCTCCACCAACAAATCAGCAGACCCATTTCCTACAAAAGCTAGAACAGTTAAAAGCACCTGTGCCAAGTAACTTCAACCCTGTGGATTGCTACTTCCTTTTTAAAAATTATTTATTCACTCATTTATTCATGAATCAGGGATTTTCCTTAGCTACTACCTTTTTATAGATGAGCAAACACGCTCAGGTGATTTGCCTAGTTCACAAAGCTTCCAAAAGGCAGGTAAGCCCGGCTGGGCGCGGCTCAGCAGTTGAGTGTCGACCTAGGATCCAGGGGATCACGGTTCAATTCCTGGTCAGGGCACATGCCCAGGTTGTGGGCTTGATCCCCAGTAGGGGGAGTGCAGGAGGCAGCCGATCAATGATGACTCTCTCATCACTGATGTTTCAACTCTCTCTCTCCCTCTCCCTTCCTCTCTCTGAAATCAATAAAGACATATTTTTTAAAAAACAAAAACAAATAAAAGGCAAATAAGGGAGTCACACAGGTATTCCTCCTATATAAATTCAACCTCAGAACGGTATCTCCCACCATCACCACGCACATAAATATAAATTCATCTAGAATTTGTCTCCTGGCTCTAAGAGAGAAAGCAGAATATGGAAACAGGTGGGGTTTTAGGAATCACCATCAGATGCTCAGATCACAAAGGTGTATGTGACCCCAAGGGGTACACACATATGCAAACATGACCATGTGCACAGCCCAGTCACCCTGTTCACTTGCTCTGTGGCTTATCCTGCTCACCTTGACAGAGAAGATATTTGCAGTGTGTCCCGTGTGCATGGAGAGCAGCTTTTTGTGGTGCAGCGGGTCCCACACAATCGTGTGCTGGTCATCGGAACCAGAGGCCAGCAAGCTGCAAGCAGAGTGAGGGGTTCTGACCTCAAGTTCCTGGGCAATTTTCCCCTAACCCACGTTCCCAGATAAGGAGTTAGGCCGCACAGGACTTAAATAACAGTATATGCCATAGAATTTAAGGCTATCTTGTAAACACTGGTTGATTCTCTTCTATTTGTCCTGAGAATTTGCCATTATTCCATAAACTTTGCATTAGTTTATCAAAAAACAGGGTTTGGATGGTCATCCAACCTTCCATCTCTCTGGGCTTCACTGTTTAACTGTGTATCGACGATGATGGACTAAAGTACGTGGCAGAGAGCAGCAGTCTCTTTTCACTTGGGTCCATTCTTCTCCTTACATCTAGGAAGAGGATCTCCCAGCCTCCCACTCTCATTCTTTAGCACCCCCTAGGTGCTCTAGCTCATACTTACTCTCCTTTCTCATTCCACTCCAGACAGTTGACGCATCCTGAGTGACCCTGGGGGAGCAAATGGAAAGGGACAATAAAAAAGCCAGTTAGAGGTTCTTTTGGGGAACTCAACACCAAGTAGAATTCAACACCAAAAAGTAGAACTGAACAGGTGAACTAACCTTTCCATCATCAATGTTTTCTAGGTGCATGTGAGTGACCAGAATTGAATTAAACTGCCTGGCATCTTACAATATATAAAGTACTTTCACTGTCATGATCTTACTTGATACCAAGTACCCCTGAGTGATAAAGGGCAGGTTTCACTGATAACATTTTGCAGAAAAGTAAACTGAAGTTCAGATAATAATAAGTAACAAAAGTGAGATCCAACCAAATTTCTACTCCTACCACTAGAAGCGACATGTCAACAGTCCCTTCAAGGGATAGCCTCTTGACGACAGAAAATTTGCCCAGAGAAGCATCTGATCCAAGGGCAGCCAATTAACTAGAAGGCTGATCGTTCATTCATTTGACATATATTTAATTTATCGAGCACTCACTGCATGCCAGCTACTGTTCAGATGCTGGGGTACAGCAGTGTATAAATAAAAGTCCCTGATCTTCTGGAGCTTACTTCCAGTAGGGGGAGCCTGGTATAGTAAGGTACATTGTGTCAGTGTCTTGAGCTTGGGGATTTGAATTAAGAAACATGGACAGTGAGGCAGTTAACAGATGCTGAAGTTGAAAACATGCAGAGAGAGAAATCATGGCAAAGCTAGAATTACGAGGAAACAGAATCCATGAAAGCAGAAGGTATGAAGCGTCAGAAACGTGTTACATGGGAAAAGGAGAAAACAAGTCAGTAGGCATTCCTACACACTGTTCTTTCCGTTCCCTCACGCTCCCTCATTCCTAATGGTACCTTGATTTTCACTGAATTATCTCCCTGCCCAAATGAGACCATGTGTTGCAGGAAGGGTAAACCCGTTGTTCGTTCCACAGTGATAGGTTCAGAAACTTAGGCCTAAGCCAAATTAGACATGGCATTCACTTGGGCACAGGAATTGGCTTAGAAATGAGCCTGTGACCCCAATCAGGTGCAAGGGGAACAGTTGCTGGGAGCTTCTAGGAAAGGAGTTTTCTCATTCAGGAGAGAGTCTATGAAAGAGATGCCTTTCTTCTTCTGGATGCTGGGAATACTGATGTGACACCTGGGATTGCCACCATGAGGGAAGCCAGCCAGAGAATGAAACTGATATAGAAAGAAAAGCCCAGATGAGGGAATCATAGCAAAATGGAGCCAGAATGACCACAGTAAGCAAGCCAGATGCCTACTCTACTCCTGGACTTCCGCTTAAGCCAATCAGTTCATTACTGTTTAAGGCCATTTGAGTTGGGTTGTTACTTGTGGCCCAGAGCATCCTAACTGATAAACTCCAACTCATTCTTCAGGTTTCAGTTTATGGGCACTTCCTTCAAGATGCCTTTCCTGTCGTGTAAATTTGGGAGGGAGGCATACCCTTCCTGTGGGCTCCTGCTGTCACACTGTACCATGGCTTTGTGTTGACATGGTTGTTTGCTTCACTGGACTGAGTCCTGAGAAAGCAGGCTTTTGTGTATTGTGTTCACTGCATCTCCAAGGCCAGCTACAGTCCCTGCCACATATCTGTTGCATAAATGAACAAATGAGACCAGTGGGACTAATGGGAAGAATGAAGAGATATGAACAAATCTAATTCCCTATCAGTCAGAAAAGGATTTTCCTCTCCTTCTCTTTCCCTCTTACCCTTTGTTCTATAAAGATTTTCATCTGGGTTGAACCTCATTTATTTCCAGGTTCTGCACTTACACACACTGCAGACACATTTACTCCATCCAAACTTGTCAGAGTACTTGCTGACCTGACTCCTCTCCTGAGGCCTCTCACTTCCCTGCGGCACTTGGTTGAAACTCCACCCATGGCTTTGGTCACTCTTTCTGGGTCAGAATAATTTCTGTCCTTGGCCCTCTCATTTTTTTTCACCAGGCTATAAATTACTTGTGCCTAGGGGTCACATCTTCAATTTGCAATTTCCGAGAGTACCAAAGGCTTTGAGAGATTGCTCCTAAGTGAGGGCTTACAAAGAGCTAGGCACAGTGCTAAGTGCTTGAGGTAAGCAGAACAATGGCCCTTACAGATGTCCATGATCTGATCCTCTGGAACCTATGAATATGTTCTGTTAGGTGGCAAAAGGGATTTTGCAGATGTAATTAAGGTCAAAGTCCTTGAGATGGGAAGACTGTCCCAGATTATCCAAGTGGGCCCAATATAATCACACAAGTCCTTAAAATCAGAACTTTCTTGGCTGCAGAGAATAGAGGGACATGTGAAAGGGACTTGACCTGCTGGCTTTGAAGATGGAAAAGGGAGTCATGAGCCTAGAAATGTAGCAGCCTGTAGAAGCTGGGAACTGCAACATAGCCCTGTGAAGTCCTTGCTTTTAGCCTGGTGAGACCCTTGTTAGACTTCTGATCAACAGAACTGTAAGATAATAAATTTGCATTGTTTTAAACCACTAAGTTTGTGGTAATTTGTTATGGCAGCAATAGGAAACTAATACAGCACTCTGTATCCATTATCTTGTTTAAGAAACAGGTATTATAACTCATTTTAAGAAAAACAATGTTCAGCCCTAGCTGGTTTGGCTCAGTGGATAGAGTGTTAGGCTGTGGACTGAAGGGTCCCAGGTTCAATTTCGGCCAATGGCATGTACCTCAGTTGCAGGCTTGATCCCTGGCCCGGTAGGGGCTCGTGTGGGAGGCAACTGATCGGTGTTTCTCTCTCACATTGATGTTTCTCTCTCTCTGTCCCTTCCACTCTCTGAAAAGCAACAGAAAAAATATCCTCGGGTGAGGATTAAAAGAACCAAAAAAAACACACAAAAAAAAGAAAAACAATGTTCAGAGAGGTTGAACTACTGTGATACTGTGATTTATAATAAGATATATTTGGTCTTTATCCCTGTTACTGGCACAAAGCTCCTAAAACCCTTGTAACTTCCTAGTAAGAGCGATAAAGGTGTCTTGATATTCATAACAAACCCCTTTCAACCACACCTGAGTTTATTAATAAAGTGATTTCTGGAAAGCACCAAAGGATGGGGGCTGGCTGCTAGGGGAACCAACCACATAATTGGATGATTAGAACTTTCAGCTCCATCCCCCTGACCTCCATGGACGTTGAACAGATCACCAATGGCCAATGATTTAATCAATTGTGTCCATGTAATGAGTCCTCTATAAAAACCCAAAAAGATAGGGTTCAGAGAGCTTCTGGGTTGATAAACTTGTGGAGATTTGGGGGGAATGGCATACGCAGAGAGAGCAAGGAAGTTTTGTGTTCCTTCCCACATACCTTGCTCTATGCATCTCTATGTGGCTGTTCTCGAATTATATTGTTTTATAATAAAGTGGTAACCTAGTAAGTAAAATCAATAAGTACCTGTACTGCTTCCGATCTGTGGTTGAGAGTCTATGGATGTGGAGGGTAGACTATATGAACTGATCAATACCATTTTATATAAGCGACTTAAGCATCCACAAATTTCTGTATCTGTGGGGGTCCTGAAACCAATCTCCTGCAGATACTGAGGGTAGTTAAGTTTTGGGGAATCAAAAAGTTAAACACAGATTTTTGACTGTGTGTGGGGGTTGGTGCCCTTAATCCCTTGTGTTGTTCAAGGGTCAACTGTACTGACAAAAAATATTAATAAAGGGTTTTATAAGTTAGAACATGTGTTTGGGAAGCTACTTTATGGGAAATAGAGTGTTTAAGAGGAGTTATTTTGGCCTTGATAAGGCTGGATAACATATAGGTGCATGATTTATGATTATGTTGAAGAATACAATGGAAGAAAATATGCCTATGACATATCAAAATTAAAAAGTGGGTAAAAAGAAGGGGATAAAACCTCAAATTTTCAAGGAATTGAGAGGAGAGACTGTTTAGAAAGGGCTCCCAGAGAGGAATAGACTTCTGTGTGCCTCCCTGGAATCCTAGAAATATTTGTACTTAGAGTGAGCCTTGCACATCAGCGACCTGGAGGAAACAAAGTGCACAGAAAAATATCCTGCAATAAAAGCTCCAAATCTCACTTAAGTTCCAAATTCCAACCTAATTCTTAGTTCCTGCTTAACTTTATTAAATATTCATTATAATTACTATATATGTCCCTGTACTCTGCTAGGTAGCATGGTATACAGGAGAAGGAGGCAAAGAGGAGCATTTTATCACTGACATTGTGTAGAACTGTAGGTGCATAATGATGATAAAAAGTGAACTTTTAGTTGGTTTTATTACTGCTTTTAAATTCTGTACAGACTATGTACCCCCTTATAGCCTGCACTGTCCTCACATTAGTATTCTACTGCTAGGTAGAATACTAGGTATTAATATACACAGTCTCATTATCACTCTCTTTTTACAGGTAAAACTGAGTCTCACACATTAAATAACTTACCCAAGTTCACACAAATGGTAAATATCAGAGCCCAGATGGGAACCCAGGTCAATGTAACTCCAAAGTCTGTGGCTATGTTGGACTACCTCAAATGTCACCCTATTACTGCCTATATTAAAAAAAACATCTCATTGCTACCATCACCTTAGAGAACTGTTTGGTAGTTTCAGATAAAGTTGAGCTTGTATCTATCTACACTATGACCCAGTAATTCCACTTGTAGGTATTTACTCGAGGGAAATGAAAACATTTGTCTCACAAAAACTGGTTTAAAATATCCATAGATGCTTTATTTTTAAAAGCCCCAAACTGGAAATAACCCAAATGGTCATCAAGGGGAGAATGGATAAACAAAATGCATCGCATCCATCCTGTGTATCACCACTCGTCAATACAAAGGAACACACTATAGATACGCGCAACAGGGATGAAGCTCAAACAACATGCTAAGCAAAAGAAATCAAACACACAAAAACACGTACTATAGAACTGTATTTACATAAAGTATAAGAACAGGCAAAACTAATCTATGGAGACAGAAGCCAAAATGGGGTTGCTCTGAGATAG